ATGTGATCTCAAATGAATGTAAGCATGAATGAATAGGAGGTATGTGCATTGTTAGACTCAACCCTCCTGCAGCCAATCCAGGATCTGCCGAGGACAATAAAGAATCATATAGATGTTTGAGAGGGGGATAAAAAGTGGTGTCTTTACCGAGGAGTTTCAGCTGTCACACTGAGCACTGAACTGACAATGGCATAACATTACACAGGAAGTTAAGGGTGCGGAAGACCTGCTGTTTGAAATGAACACCACAGGGATATAGGTTTGACTGTGAGATATAAACGCACTGAATATTATGTTACAGACTTGGGCTATTTCAGTTTTTAAAGGGCCTATGTCATTACGCTATTTTCTGATGGAGGTTTTAATGTTGTTTCCTCATCAAAACATGGGCTTTTGTTTTATTCACACATGTTTAACACACATCCTGTATATTTAGGCTGAGTTCTTTTCTCAAACAGAAAAACCCTCTGATCCTTGTGATGTCATGTGGTAATACAGGAAGTACTTCACTAGAGGCATTTGGATAATTTCAGCTCATTTTAGATGTATTTATTACAGTAAAAAACACAAAAAACACATGTCTGTTACTATGAGCGGACTTGCATCTTCACAAACCTGACTCTTATTTGGTCTGGGATAGGGCCTGGTGTTTTGTTTCATTCACGTGTTTAACACACAAACCCTACATATTTAGGCTGAGTTCTTCTTTCAATCACAAAACACTAGTCTGGTCTACCTTGTGGTAAAACAGAAGTTCTCCACTGTGTTACATTTACACAAAATGAATTATTGTGAGCATTAAGCCATCTTATATGTTGTTACCTCCTCAAAAACCTGCACTGCAAATTTCTCTGATCTGGCCAAGATTTAAAAAATTATATCAGGTTATTCATCTTGTTTTCAGATTTATTATCTAGACCAGAGACTACTTAATTCTAGTCTAGAGGTAGTTTACGCGGATCGTTCCAGCGTCTGCAGTGATGCTGCCACTGTATTGAACCGGCTGTGGTGAAGAGAGAGCTGAGCCGAAAGGCAAAGCTCTCGATTTACCAGTCAGTCTATGTTCCTACTCTCACCTATGGTCATGAACTTTGGGTAATGACCAAAAGGACGAGATCGCGGATACAAGCAGTGTTTGTGAGTTTCCTCCATGGGGTGGCTGGGCGCTCCAGATAGGGTGAGGAGCTCAGTCACACGGGAGGAGCTTGGAGTAGAGCCACTACTTCTCCACGTCGAGAGGAGCCAGTTCAGGTGGTTCAGACATCTGTTCCAGATGCCTCCTGGGCAGCTCCCTTAGGAGGTGTTGTGGGCATGTCCCACCGGGAGGAGACCCCGGGGAAGACCCAGGACATGCTGGAGGGACTATGTGTCTCAGCTGGCCTGGGAATGCATCGGGGTCAACCCAGAGGAGCTAGAGGACGTGTCTGGGGTGGAGGAAGTCTGGGAGTCCCTGCTTCGACTGCTGCCCCTGCGACCCAGCCATGGAAAAGCAGAAGAAAATGGATGGATGGAGGTAGTTTAGAGGTAGGACAGATAATTTCACTACTTTTAAGACATTTTCTGATAGATTTAACTGTTTATGACTTAAATTTTGGCCAAGCTTTTTTGCAGTATGGAGTAATCCTTTATTATTCATCTGTCTACATCTCCAAAGCCCCAAATGCTCTGTTCCACCTTCTGATGTCACGAAGTGATTCAGTCTTCAAGTAAACAGCTCCTTTTACCTTTTGTTCTAAAAAGATCGGCAGTTCCAGGGCTGAAATGATCCAAATGATTCTAGTGAAGGTGTATGGAGTTTAACACAATGGAGCACTTCCTGTATTACCATGTGACATCACAAGGTGGAGCAGAGCAACAACATTATAACATAGATCAGAAAACAGTGTAATATGGGCTTTTTAAAGACGCAGTACCAGGTCTATATTATTCTGTCTGAACCAGCATTTTCAGTTGAGCCACATTTAATGATTGATTGTGACTTTAACTTTCTATATCCATTGAATCACACAGTCCACCTCCAGAAACGCACACAGTGTTGGACTTGTAAACACACAAACATAATAGGACTTCAGTATTTGCATAATGTGTATAGCTGCGTGTAATCTGACCTAACCTTGACCTATGAAAGCAGCCCTGGTAGTTCACTCGAGCCAGTTCAAAGCCTCCTCTTCACTTCCCCTGTACAAGGTCAGTGTAAGCCAGGACAGACACCAAAGGTCAAGCACCCATCGCTCCTGTCAGCACCTGTCAGCACCTGTCTGCACTTGTCAGGTCCCCACAGCCTGAGCTCTGTTGAAGGGGATTCACAGAGGAAGTTAGGGAGTGAAATTATATACCGCGTACCTGTGCCTCAGTCAACACACTCAAAGATAGAACACTGATACTTTTGTTTCTCTTCATATATATTTTTACAATAATAAACTGGACAGAGAATGGTATGGGCTTCATTAAATTGTTATTTTACAGAAATCTGTCCTCTGAATTAGATTTTTCTTTCAGTGCCACTGTATACTAGCCTGATTCATCAGCCGGTTTTACTTCATTTCACTTCGTAGTGTTAGAATTGTTCGCTCGACAGTAGGCAGGTACTTTTTATCATTTAACCAATCGCTGCTATTTGGTAGTCACGTATATAAGGCGCCACTAATGGGGCTAGCTGGTAAATTAAGCTTTTCCCAAATCCAGTAGGAAGAAGAACAATAACGTCTTTCCCCTTGATAAAATTCAGCAAACATTATCTTTATTCTGGCTTTAAATCCTCGATCTCGGGAATCGTTGACAACAGTGGACATATGGCTCTTTGCTGATTGGCTCGTGCCCGAACTTGCACTTCCAGGGTTCTTGTAAACCGTCTAGTGTATTCCGATTCCTGACCTAGTCGCTGGAGAGAAATGAAATTGAGCGGAGGTACTAGGTGGCACAAGCCTGGCAACTGTACGGGGAAACAGTTACACTTCTATGGTGAAATATTGTGTAGTTGGTGACACAAACACTGTCAAAAAAGATAATGCAAAAATTGAAGAAAAAATACAAAATAGACTTAAACAGCTAATTTTCAGGAGACTGTGAGCAATATGAGCGTTCATGGTCCTGTTTAAGAGTTTGATTTTCAACAAAAAGGTGAGAGTGACTAAAACTATCGGATAATACTTGCTTGTGTGCTGTATTTTAATGTGTGAGAGACTTGTTTAACAGCACAAATCATCTACCACTAAGTCTTTCTGGATTGTGTTTAAAAAAAAAAAAAAAGATCAGATTATATTCTAACAGAGCAAAGCCTACAGTTCTTCACATGATGTCAGTGTAGATGACATCAGCTGCAAAGTACAACAAACAACAACAGAAAAATCACTCAGATATGGAGAAGAACATGTAAACTCCACACGGAGCAGCCTGGTGCTCACCACTCAGAAACCATAACACCACTAGAATACAGTCGTTTGTTTTGAGTCTGACAGATCCAGTTACATTGTTGGCATAAATCTCAATTCAACACATAACCAAACATGCCTATTGTAATCTGTGGCTTCATCTTTCTTCCGTTATTTACCTCAAATGTTGTGTTCAAACCAGGCTCACAACTGGGACCAATCATGCCCCCTCTGAGTTTACATACATGCACTGTTCGCATGTAGCCCTCTCTAACCTCACCGCACTGCACACTCAAGTACACAGAACATTTAAGGACATAATCTCCGTCACGTCTGACCCACTTACCAGGTCCCATAGGTGCATAGATCCTCACATGTTGTGGTAGTGCTTCTGCAGAGGGGCCCTGGGTGGTGGGGGGTGGTCCATCAGTGGAGGAGGAGGGAGGGGTCACAGTCACAGGCAGACGTAGACCGGTGGAGTCGCCTTGGGCTTCAAAACAAAGTCTTTAACATCAGGACACACCCAGTCCCCCCATTCATTATTTAGGTCTGCACATACAGAGTGTGGTTAATTTAATAAGTAGTTGAGTAAAACTCTACTTATCTGTGGAACAAAGATAATAAAGAAGTAAATAAAAATCTCTTCAATAAAAACCTTAATAACCATAATGTAATCAAAGGCTCTCTTTCATAGTGAGTCCCTTTCCAAATGTTGTCACTATATTGTGGTAAAGCAGAGATGATAGTTTAAACCACTGTTTCTCAAAACTGTGGTTCACAAACTTCTTCAGGTGGTATTTGGACAGATCTTCAATTTGTGGGGCTGCCTTATTTTGATTTCGTTGTACCCTCTTTTTGCAATGGAAAAGATGTAGTCCACATTTAGGCCAGGTTTAGTCCTAGGTTAGACCTACAGTAGTCCTGTTATTGACCTGGTTTAGATCTGGTGTTACTTTGAATGCCAAATCTTTTCTTTGGTGGTACTTGCTGTGAAAAGTTTGAGAGCCACTACTTTAAATACATTCCAAAACTAAATATTTCAATTAGATTAAGTTGTGTGTGTGAGTATGTGTAGGTGTATGTGTGTGCTGGTAGGTTTATTTATGACTGCGGGTGTGTGTCCTTCTGTGTATGCTTTAGACCCTGAGTCTGTAAATAACGTTATACATTAAGTTGTGAAAGATACACAGTGGAAACAAAACCTCTTTTACAACTAAAGGCACTGATGCTGGCCTGCCTACATTACTATCTGCTCCAGAGAGTTGTTGTTTTAGTTTTTTCAGAATGAAGTCTTCAAGATGGAGGTGACTGGGCTGCTAAAAACAGTCACAGAAAACTCAGAGTGAGCTTTGGCCCAGTTCGAGCTGGACAAATATCAAATCCAGCTGTTGGCACTTGTGAGCACTGTTCATGTGGCGCCACCTGCTGGTCTAAATATTTCTATGACCAAAGTCAGAACATGACTAGGTCTGAGGGCTTAGTGACACCTTGTGGAGTTGTACAGTCATTACACTGAAATGAAAACTTCAGGAGATAAGATAACCAAACAACATCATTTAATAAATGACTTAAAAATACAAAATAAACATCTGTGCAAAAATGTTCAGACAAATACAAAGACAAGGCATCTCTGGGTCAAAGGAATACTTGTGTAAACCTTCCGTGGTGGTCTCTATGAACCACTAAACAACGTGTGTTTGAGACTTTGAACTACATTTACTTAAGGTAATAATGTACCTACACTGTCTGATACAGATGAAAAACTAAATTCCATTATTTTAGTTTCACAGCCTTGTGTCCAAGTGGTTGTTGTTCTTTGCATAAAGGGGGTCTCATCATTGTTTATAGGTAGCTCAGGCTGCTTCATACACATAGAAAACTGCACAAAAGGCATTTTCAATAGAGACGTGCTCTGACATATGGTACAAGAGCAGTCAAACAAGTCAATGAGATTGAAATGAGTATTGCTCCCTAAAAAAATGAAACATTAAGTATTACACATATAACTCTACTGTATTGTTTACAGTATTCAGACTGATCTAAATGAATTCTTAAGAGTGTAAGGAACATAAACTAAACATGTATTATATTCTTTAAATTACAGGTTATCCTCAGTGAGACAACTGCTTTATTCGTGAATGGGAAACTCGATTTCAACACTAAATAAGCCTAAACAAAGCATCTTTTATCGATTCAATAAAGCTTATGGTTTAACATAATGTTGTTCAACCATTCAAGGCAGAGTAAAGACACATTATGTGGCAAGGATGTGGCTTTTGCCTAATGTCCCTGTTTCACATCAAACTTCAGCACAGTTCAGGAAGTGGATCTTTTTTACTAAGTGGGCATACAAAATAAATTAAATACATTTTAAAGGTTCTTTCAAAAACAGGAAAAAAAATCCCCAAAATAAAATTAAACAAAATAAGCTAATTTAGGTAGTACATGTTGAATTCTTGTTTTTTCACAGGGGCAGAAAAGCACAATAAAATGTTAATTAAAATCCTTCAAAATGCATACACGGAACACCCTTTTGAAAACAATTAAAATACAATGATATTCTTTTGTGAACAATAGACCAGTAAATTGGTGGGTGAAGTCTGAGTGGGACAGCTGTTGGTGAGGCCCCAGGATAATGTGGCGATTGTGTTAAACTGTGGAGCTCGTGATTCCAGCACTGAAGAGGCAGATCAGATCCACACGAAGCAAAGGCACTCCAGGGTTGTGCATCCAAGCATAAAATGACCAACCTCAACTCTACGTTACTAACAGTTTGTAAATATCCAAAACATTCAGTTGTCATGTCCAAAAAGAAATGTGGTTATTGACAGTTAAAGTACAAATAAGCCTTCTGTGGCGTTATGTAACCCTGTATAAGAAAAGTCTTTATCAAACTTGACTGTGTGGGTCACTGGATCGAAACAGGAAATGGGGGTTATCAAATGATACATTTCATACAATAAAACATTCTTTTGAATATATACTTATGCATTCCATTCACAAGATCATAGGAGCCATATGTACCATATTTACAGAGGTTAAAATACATGTTCAGACCAGGGCAGTGAGTCTCACACTGGTAGTGGTCCTGTGTGTCTGTACTGGTCCCATAGTGAAAATGAGTCCTCCCTCTGTCGCCCTCTACAGGTCAGCTGTGATCACATTGTCGTTGTACATGATTATGTCAGAGTCTCCGGACAGCAGGGCAGATGTTTGTGTATGGTCCAGTTGCCCCACTGCCTTCTGGGATACTTGTCCGTACATTTGTGGCGCCCCACCGCTGCCTGGCATGATGCAGTGGGACAGGAGGGGAGTGTTGGCATCATGGTTGGAGCCTGTGGTGGAGGGAACCCCGCTCACGTGGCCTGTGCTGGTGGAGCCGCTGGCGCTGCTGGGGGAGCGGCTCTTGGGAGGGGGCAGGTGGTGTTGGATGACTCTGGGTGGGGCAGGGGGGGCAAAGTGGGCAGGAAAGGCTGCGTATCCCGGGGGGATGGGGTATCCATTTACAGGGATGAAGCGCTGGTGTGTTTGAGGCACTGCCATGGGAGTCCAGGCCTGAAGAGGAGCCATCTGCCCTGGGGCAGGGATGGCCTGGGCTGGGTACAGATAGGCCCCTGGAGCTGCTGCGTAACGGGGGTTACTCAGGTTGCTCACAGGGCTGGCACTCAAAGAGGTGGTCTGTGTGGTGGCATTCCCCCCTCCACCAGAGGGCGTGCTGGAGCTGGCATGAGAGGACAGGCCCTCCCAGGCCCTGAGACGAGCGTGGATGTCCTTAAAGCGAGGGCGTCGGGCTGGTCCCTCCTGCCAGCACTCGGTCATAAGGCCATAAAACCTGGGCACAATTCACACATTTAATAGTTAATACCAAGAAGTGTAAAGCAACAGGATCATAGGACCATTATTAAAGCTCTTTATGTCATACCTGGGTGGACAGTCCTCTGGACAGGGCAGCAGCTGCCGCTTCCTCACCATCTCCATCACTTCCTGGTTGGAAAAGCCGTAGTATGGCTGCAGGCCATAACTGAAGACCTCCCAGAGCACCACCCCAAAGGACCAGATGTCTGACTCGGTGGTGAACTTGCCATAGGCGATGGCCTCAGGGGGCATCCAGCGGATGGGCAGGAGGGTCTTAGGCTGGAGGAGGTAGTAATCTGAAGAGTAGATCTCTCTGGACAGACCCAGGTCTGATATCTTCACATGGAGCTGTTCTCCAACCAAGATGTTCCGAGCTGCAAGATCCTTGTGGACAAAAGAGTGACTGGACAGGTACTCCATCCCAGCAGCGACCTGAGCAGAGGATTTGGTGTTTAGATGTATTATTGTTTATTATTGTCTTTTTATTATTAGGATCTACCTGTTGTGATAATAATACAGTGACTGTACCTGTGAAGCCATATGTAGGAAGTCCCCATGATCCAGGCTGGACTTGACTGTTCCGTCCTCGTCGCTGCTGCAGCCCACATCAGAGTGAGGAGAGCGCATGATGAGGAACTCATGGAGGTCTCCCTGAGGCAGGAACTCAAAGAGCATACAGACTGGCTGCTCCTGCGTCACCACCCCCAGCAGACACACCATGTTTGGGTGCTGCAGCTCTGTCAGCACAGACGCCTCCTGGTGGGGAAAGAACAAGGATGTTTCAAAGTGGGTTAAAAGTTTAATGGACCATAACTATGTATTGTACAAATGGAAAAAAATACAGCATTCAGGGTTTACCTTCTGGAACTCTCCCCACTGCTGCACATTGGACACATCTTTGAGAGTCTTGATGGCCACGAGCTGAGCCTGGTCCATGCCCGGCAGGTACAGGTGTCCTTTGTACACTTTTCCCAGAGGACAGTCTCCCAGCTCCTCCATGAAGCGCACCGCAGACAGAGGCAGCTCCTTGGCCTTACTCTACAAACAATAACAAGCACTGAATTAGTATTGCATTATATAACTTATTTTTTCTGTACAGTCAAGGTGCTCTTGATTTGTTTTTTTAATCCATGGGGCATCTATAATATTGCCAAATTGCAATTACAATGAAAATTGTTTGGCTTTTTCAAATGATTCAGAAGATGCTCTCGACACTCGTAAATTATTCGATTAAATACATGTGAGAATTAACTTGACTGATATTTTATTGGTCGAACGTTAATGTCCTATGTAACTTTTCTGGTGAGTTTAGCCCATATTGTGCCATACTGTGGAAAAATCAAAGCAATAATATCTCCATGGAAACAAGTAGATGGCGCACCCTCCAGAAACATTACATGGTGTACCTTTAACTTTAAAATGAACCAAAAAAACATATTCAGACAAATATTTACACTGTATGGGTAAGGTGACATAAAAATTAGATTAAAAAAAAGGTTGGCAGAGCTTAGCAGATTCCAGGAAAAGTATGCAGTGATGAATAATGAAATTCCTAAGTGAGCTGGCAGCCCCTCCAGAAAAGTTACATAGTGCATCTTTAACTTTAAACCAAACCAAAACTGCATTAAGACAAATATGAGCACCGTGTGGGTAAAAAGTCAGTTCTATCTTTGGCAGAGCTTTGTAGATTCCAGGAAATGTATGCAATGACGAATAATGAAATTCCTTTGTGAGCTGGGGGCAGACACTGGCTGTAAGATCTCCGAGGGGGGTACTGAGCGTGTGCGGTGGGGCGAGGAGAGCTTATGAAAGAAGCACATGTTTTTGGTTATGGCTTTGTTGTGCCTCTTTCCTGAATCTGCACACCGTCAGATCCTCCTCAGCCTGTTAAAGACTGTGTAGTGGGCACATAAAACTACCTGTGGGACATCCGGATGGTAATGGAGTGATATAGTTTATATACTTGCCATAAGAAAGGGAGGGGAGACATAAAGTAGTCAAGTACTTTAATGGCTTTCTTTTTTTTTCTTTTACAGCCAAATTCTTCCAGTCAAATACTAAGGCTGGGTACCTGTCTTATCAGTGTCAGTACATACTTGATTTTGGGTAACACTTTATAATAACTACTTTCATTTTATTTATTATGAATGATTCAGGCTAATGCTAAGACAGACTAACCCTTTAATTAAGTAGGTACTAAGCCTGAATCTTTCTTAATAAACAGTTTGTTCATTATTTTTATAATTAAAGTCTCTGTACCTGATTTTTCCCATGTAGTTAAGCAAATATGTCTTGCCCCAGTACAGATATATTGTCGAAGCAGCTCTCCAGATCAAAATATGTCCACTATGTACTGTCCGCATCTAATATAAACCATTTAATTGTCTGACAATCAAGAAAGTATGCGTGTTAGTATACTGGCTGGTTTTAGCTTTACTTCACACTGGTTTCTGAGAGTTGTGAGAAGCACTTATAAACTTATTGTGGTGAATAATTTAATTAGGATGTTCGGAATGCATAAGGCAAGTGAGGAATAACTTTGGGCCTTTTTTTTACACTAGTGGCGTTTCAGATTCATGCAACTAAATCCTGGAACAGTCTTCCTGAACATGTGAGACAGACTCTACTTTGACTCTGTTTAAATCCAGGCTCAAAACTGTTCTGTTTGGCTGCATATGACTGAAAGGTTTTCATTTTTCATTCCGCACTCTTCTCTTCTTTCATTTAATGTCTCTCTCTTTTTAATCTTATGATGATTATTTAAGTTTTAATTTGTTTTTATTGTGATTTGAATGTAGTTCTTATTCTGTAAAGCACTTTAAATTACTTTGTGTTCGAATTGTGCTATACAAATAAACTTGCCTTGCCTTACCTTGGTACCTTTTAACAGCCCTATATATTACATATATTCTTTTATTTTTTAATTTTTATGCAAAATCAAAAAAATTGCAAACAAACATTTAAACTACAGAAACCTTGACATGACCTTTTTGGATCTCATGCACCAGTTGAGATCTGACATTTGACGTGGTTGTTCTTATAATTGTACTTAGTCATAGACAAGTCACTATTTTCCAGGTTTGGGAACTGCCTGATTCAGTCTTTTAGTATCTTTTCTGGTAATATCATGATATGATTACGGTAACTGGAAATTTGCCAAGTCTCACTGGACAAAGTTTTGTGCAAAATACTTGACCTTTTTGGTTGTGTGCACTGGTGGTTTCCAGATTACATGTGTATTCTAATGTGATGTTGTCATAATCTCAGATGGGGGTTAAATGTTAGGTTTTTTTTACTGATTATAATGTACTTTTCTAAAATATCTATAAGGTAAATTCTTCTATTACTGACTAAACCTAAACTCAATATATTTCATTCTAGTTATAAGTATTCATTTTAGAGATCCAACTGAATTTAAATTTAAAGATCAAGAATCAAAGATAAAGAATCAAAAATACCATGGTTCAATTTCACTCACAACAGCAGTCACCTTGCAAGGATTCATTTATTTCAGCAAAAAAAAGTTAGAAAATCAAACACTAAAATGCTCAGTGGCAAATTAACCAACATTAACAGGAATCAAGCAAGTGAATAGCAGAAACGAGCTTTGTGAACTATCCATAAAGTTGTTTTTTTTAGAACACACCCATAATCTTTTTATTCAATCCAAGCTAATAAGGATTCCTGACCTTGTAAAACATTATACGCTGGTAATTTTATTTAGAGCATTCACAATTTGCTACCAAGTCATCTACAAAACTTGTTCAATATAAGGGAGAGAACTCATCATTTTAGAGAGTATGGAAATTACAAATTGCCCAATGTTCAGATTATCTGTAAAAGTTTCTATGTGTCTATATGTGGTATAAAACTTTAACAGTCTGGATACACAACTCAAGCAATGCCAAAATATCCATAAATTCAAGCTGTTATATAAACATATGGTCTGGTCACAGTATATAGAGAGTGTGTCTTAATATTAGAACAATACTGCCTTCTGTGGTGCTGGTTTATGCTTGATGTTTCTTTAGCGTTGCCGGTATGTGCCGTCTTACCATTGTTGGAATCTTTAATTTTCCTCTCTACAGTAATTCATGCATCATTTGTTCATTTGTTTTTCAAAATAAAACCAAAAATAAGAAAACGAAAAACAATTATTTTCTTTTTCATTTGTCACCAAAACAAAAAAGAAAAAATAGATAGATATTATATTTTTTTTTTCCAGTTTTCGATTTTAAATGAATAAAGGAAAAAATGGATAACGACAGTTTCCCGTTTACGTGACAAACTGTAATGACGGACTGAACCAGGACTAAGGCAGGTCTAAACCAGGACTGAGACCGGGACCACTGGGAACAAACCGGGATTGAGACCAGAAATGAGACCGGGACTGAGACTGGGACCAAGACCAGGACTGAGACCAGTTTAGTCCTGGTTTAGTCTTGGTTTAGTCTTGGTTTAGTCCTGGTTCAGTCCTGGTTCAGTCCTGGTTCAGTCCTGGTTTAGTCCTGGTTTAGTCCTGGTTTAGTCCTGGTTTAGTCCTGGTTCAGTCCTGGTTTAGTCCTGGTTTTAGTCCTGGTTCAGTCCTGGTTCAGTCCTGGTTCAGTCCTGGTTCAGTCCTGGTTTAGTCCTGGTTTAGTCCTGGTTCAGTCCTGGTTTAGTCCTGGTTTAGTCTTGGTTTAGTCCTGGTTTAATCCTGGTTCAGTCCAGCATCTCAGTTTAAGTCACGGAAACAGGAAATGGCCATTATCCGTTTTTTTTCCATTATTCATTTAAACACAAAATCAAAGACTGAAAAACAAATCATAATCAGTTTTTTCATTTTGGTTTTGGAGACAAATAATGAAGAAAATAGTTGTTTTTTCGTTTTCTTATTTTTGGTTTTATATTGAAAAATGAATGAATGAATGACACACGGATTCATAGTTGGTATCCTTATGAATTACTGCAATACATTTATATTACCAAACTATAACAATGACTCTTTGTCCGCACTTGTAAATAGTTCATATAGTTTAATGTAAAACGTCTGAAAAATTCGAAAGAAAGCTCTTTGTATTAGATTAGAAGAGGGGGGTGGGATTAAATTAAAGTTTTCTTCTTCCCACTCCTTTTTGGGCCATTTTTTTATTCTTTTGCAGTTGTTCTTTCTGCTATGATTTCATTATTGTTATATGTTCCATTGTAAAAGAATGTAAATGTCTTACTTGCCCAAAATAAACACATAAATCATCAATCAATCATCAACTGTCCTAGAGCGCCTCCTGTCTTTAGATTCTCTATTCTAACAACGAAAAAATAAAATAAATAAAAACAGAAACAGCGTGCATCGTCGTAACTATGGAACGAATTTGTAAACCTGAACAATCCCTTTAATTTAATATAATAGCTCTGGCAAATGAAAAGACTCTTTAAACGCAAACCATATTTCATGACCTAGTGAGTCCATGGAGACCAGTTTAAACAGCATTTTATGATTCCCGAACTGCTGGGCTGACACCAAGGCTGCTTTGATCTGCTATGAAGTCAACTCTTTACAGATACACGCTCGTAATCCTAACACGACGCATAGAGAGCATTTTTTCTAGGTCAAGGAGACATATTTTCCAATCCAGGACAACAAACTAAACCAGAGATATTAATGGATTCTGACGCTTTGTGACAGTTCGTGGTCTGCGCCGGTAACACTATCCACGTTACCTTGAGAGGATCTTTGGATGTCTATGTGAACGCTCCAACGCCATCAAAATGATGTGGAAAAAGATAAACAGAATTGCACAGCCTTGAAGGGAAATCTGATAGGGATCCAAGTGTTGAGCTATATGCGTTGGCTGGTAGATCTGTACATTATAAAAGCATTCAGTAGAGGAGGAAAGCTAAGAAAAGTGAGACAGATGGAGTGGTTGGAGACGAGAGGTGAAGGAGACAGTAGCAGAGGTATAAACAAAAAGCAGCTGAGCATTCCTGGATCTACTGGAGTTTGACGATAGAAATTTTGAAGCAATTTACAGCTCAGCGGCCATAAAGTTGTTATCCCTGACATCAAAAGAAGACAATACTGACTCTGCGGTTGCTCAAAGTAACTTCTCCCCTCTTGTCTCCGTAGAGATGTTGTCGCTTTGCAGAGAATGTTCCACAGCATGATATTCAACTCATCTATCTTGCATTTATTTCATTATAGGTTTTCTTAAAGCTCAAAAATACCTTGAACACTTGCATTCTTATTATGAGTGGGCTCGCCTCTCCACAGATCTGACAAAGGCAAAGTCTGTCGTATACAGCCTTATTTGAGGGACAATAAAATAAAAGTTACTGGTATAAAGGTGTCGGCAAAAGGTTGACATTAAAAAGAATTTGGACACATTTTGACCTTTCCTGAATATTTTTTGAATGTTTTTATCCATTTGAAAATAGTATAGAGTACATGGTAACATCAAAGAAACTATGATTATTTTTCTGTAAAAAATTATTATATATATTATTTTTATCTACTTACGTTACTTACTTTATTGTTTTAGGGTTTTATTATTATTTTTATGAGCACTGGTAGAGCAATTGTTTGTTTATGCTTTTCTGTGCAGTAGTTTCAGTTTATAAGATGTGTTATTTAAAGGTGCACTATGTAACTTTTTTGGTTGGGGGGGGGTCTATTACCTGCCTGTTTCCAGACGTGGGACCAAGTCATTGTTTTGCAGCCTTTGTCTATTTTATCAAGTCAAGTGTCAAGTCTTAAAAATAGTGATTCAAGTCTGACCTGTGAGTTCTAACCTCCTAACCTTTAAACCAAAGTACCAAATGTGTCATAGATTTCTGCAGTTTACATAATTTTTCTAAATTGTAATTAAAAAGTCCTGGTGTATTTATATATTCATATTTGTATAAAAAGTTGTAGAAATATACATTTTTCCTTTTTAAATGCCTTGACAAGAGTGCGAATTATTACTGTGAAAACGGAAAGAATTAAGATTTAAGAGTGATTCATAACAGTTAATTCTATGTCTATGCATCAAGTCTTCTCAAGTTACAGAGGTTAAGTCCGAGTCAAGTCCCAAGTCACTGACCTTCAAGTCCAAGTTGAGTCCCAAGTCTTTGCCTATTTTATCAAGTCAAGTGTCAAGTCCTAAAAATAGTCTAACCTACAAGTCCTCACCTCTGCTTGTTTCTATGGATATGTCATTCTTCTGCCTGGAATGTTCCACAGTATGACAGCTCGATATTAAACAGCTCAATTTTTTTTTTTTTTACAAGTAGAATTTATAGCTCAAAAATACCTGGAAAAACAGAAATTGTAACTGTGAGTAGGCTTGCCTCTCCACAGATGTAACCTGTAACTTGGTCTGGTTTGGTCTCCATGAAGATAGAAAGGTTCATGTCCAGACTGTGAAACATTCCAGACAAAGCAAAAACATGTCCACAGAGAAAAGCATTGGATGGACCCTCCACCAGAAAAGTTACACAATGCACCTTGATGTAAAGTGGACTGAGTGGACATTTTACTGTCTAAAGATATGTGTATAAACCATCATTAAGGGTTTGAATTCAGAACTGAGCCTTTTCCCTCAGTATTAAAATTGATAAACCGACAAAAAAAACAAAAAAACATAATGTACTGACTTGCAAACACTGACATTACAAAGGTGTTCTCTGTTAAAAGCACTGCACTCCCGAGGTAAGCCGATGAAAACTATCCAAAGTGAGATGGATGAAGTGAAAGAGAGGAGAGCAGAGCGGAGGTGTAAACAAAAGTGCAGCTGAACATTCCTGGATCCATGGGGTCTGATGATAGAGATCTGCTCGGCTCAGAGAGGTCATATCCACGGAACAACACAAGGGCCCTGCGTGCTGTAACCTATCCCACATGACACACTCACACACCTATGCACTGCTTATGTCGCTGTTTTGACTCCACACTTTGAAACTAGAAAGAGGCATCTATGTAATGGTCTGAAGTGCGTGAGAGAAAATGCCAACAACATGTATGGCTCAGTGGCAGTAGCTCACGAGCAGATCACCACTTTCCCGTCACATCTGAAGCAGCAACTATAATGGGCGGCAGAAATTATTCACTCTATGCTATGCTACCTATTATTATTATATTATACTGTTGGGCAGGCGAAAGTAAAGTAGAAGTGACAGACAAACATGTATGTCTCCATGGAGATGTTTTTGCTTGGCTTAGAATGTTCCACAGTAGATGTTTATTATCATACAGTAGAACATTCAAGGCAAAGAAATAACATCTCCAGAGAGACGACCCTCAAACAGAAAAGCTACATAGCGCCAATTTAAAATGATTATGTATTTATTCTTTCCAAAGTTTTGAGATGAGGCGATACTGGCTTGTCTTGTCAGATCTCAGAAATGAAGTAGTGCTGGGCCTGGTCAGTGCTTGGATAAGAGACTCCTGAGAATATTAGGAAAGATATAAACATATTATTTGCACTGTCATTGTGTTCTTAGTGAATCCACTTCAACCTCAAAAGGGAGTGATGTTGCAGATTGGCAGCCGTGCTTACATCAGTCTGCCCCAGGGCAACAATAATAGCTTACCGCCAGTGTGAAGTGAATGAATAATGCTTAGTGTCTGGTCTAAAAAAAAGTGCTTTATAAAACCAGAGCATTATCATGGTAGTGTAGCATTGTGATGTATTTTTATTCTATTGTTACTTACTTTTGGTTTGAACTGTGTTGTGAGCATGGACATCTCCACGTTCTGGCCGCGCACTGGTTTGGGCTGTCGAGGAGGAGGAGGTCTGGAGCTCTTCTGGTTGTTCCGACAAACACAGATGAAGAAAAACAACAGGGCGATGGCCAATGGAATGGCCACACTGGGAATCAGGATCCATAGAATCTCCATACTGCCACCGCCGGACTTCTCCTTATGATCTGAAAGAATAAATAGTTTTTAGTTTTTGAGTGTATATCAACTGTAGTAAATTTTGTAGGTAATATGGATATGGAATCTCGCTCAAAAACACTTCAAAAAGATATTACAATCACAACTGAACCTGGTATAGCCTGCACAAAGAGGAAACACACAAGTCTGGTTCATTCCCAGTATATGGACAGGCATCGTGTGAAAGATCAACACCTCCCAAATTTCATGTGTTTCTCAAGAACTAAAAAATCAAAACAATAACTTTACCATTACGTCTGATGTTTGAGTCATTCAAAATTGCTACCAGTAAAAACTATATGTGAGCTATTGTTTATTTCATATCCAAATTTGGAATAAAATTTTGACATACCCACAGCTTTAGAATTATTTGTAAGTGAATTGTGTTTGTGACTGGTGGTTGTCAGAGAGACTTATCTAAATCAAGTCTGAAGTTTTACAGTATCAAAGGTTTATGTGATTTGTTTAAAAGCTAAAACAATATTTTATTATTGGGTAACAAGGTTTTATGCAAGTTTTCCCAAGTGTTTTCAGTTGTGAATCATGATTGTCTAAGTTGACTCACCACAGATGGGGATGTCACAGAGCTCCATGCGGACCCGCTCGTCCAGAGTGAAACACCAGGGGGCCTCGTGCTTGTTGCCGGGGTTGCGGCAGTAGGAATGACCCCCGTTGAGCTCTGGGTAGCGGACCGCCAGGAAGGTGTGGCTGTGGGGGTACTGCGAGTTCCAGGGCTGACACTGGCGCCCAGACTTGGTCATGCTGACTGTGCCACGGTACTCTGCCCCACTGCTGTTGTAGCATTTGTGATCTGAAAACAACAAAACAATGGCTCATAAGTATGTGTAGTTCTGACTAATTATGTATATGAAGATGATGATGTAAATATATCAAAAGGGCTACGGAGTGGTTGAAGGAAAGGATGCTTAAAACACATAGCCAAGGATGAGGTTACACTGGCCTGTGTCTTGGTTGGAGCCCACTTTAGTTCTAATATAGAATTGGTTTAGTCTGGGTCCAGTCCAGGTTTAGTTCTGTGTTTAGGCCAAACTCTAATGTGTTATATATAAGGATGTAACAATAGCCAAAATATTGTAAGATTGTATCGTCAAAGTTCTCACAATAATATCGTGAACCATCACAACATATCGAATTACAAGTCTTTTTGTTTAAATTAAGAGTTTTGGTGCAGCAGTAGCTAAAAAAAAGACAGAGGAAACTACACTTTTAAGTCTTAGTTCTTTGGATTAAGTCTTGTCAAGGCATTTTAAAAGGAAAAAGTAGCACATTAACAGTTTTAGCTGTTTAGCCTCCACAAAATATCTCAATAAATATTGTACTGTGATGGTACATAGAGATTTGTATATTGTTACATTCCAAATCATGCCTCCCCACCATATCGTGAGCTTTCCTATGATATTGCAATAAATATCGTATGTGAGGTTCATACTTGGATATCGTTACACCCCTAGTTAAAGGCTATCATAAAGGCTAATAAAAGCTTATTATAATATTAGTTATTTAGTGCCATTGATAAATAAATACATATACTTTTGATATTTTCTACAGTGATTGCTTTAAGAATACTACAAATGAAACTACTTTATTATGGTCTCTATAATGGTCTTTTAAAAAGTAAACTTAAAAGCATGTGTCTTTCCTTAGAGTAACATTTCACTTCTTTCCATTATTTCAATATAAAATGTGAAAAAAAAAATCTTTCAACCAATTTCACTGGCACTACAAACACCTTCTACATAACAGCCCCTTGTGTTATTCCAGTAAGATACTCATAATCCTCACTCTTGTTGATGGGTTCTGCCATGGGGATACCGATCCTGAGACAGTTGGCGGCCTCGGGACTGTCGGTCGCGGCCAGGTCGTCACAGTTGGGCAGTTTGAGCCTCTTGAGGATGATGGGGTTGGAGCGAGCGATGATGTACTCGGTTTTACACAGATCATTCTCCAGGATCTCACACTCGTCTTTGCACAGGTCCCGGGGTTTGTCTGTGCCCGAGCTGCGGTCACACGTCGGAAAGGCAAAGTGGCAGAGGGAGGGGATGGCAAACTGGGAACAGCGGTCGGATAAGTGGTTGGAGGTGCCGATCATGGTGAAGGCAGCTGCAGAGAAGACAAATATAGAAGGGTTTTAGATGATAATAAAGCATTCTATAGATAGGCCAGTACTATTTGAAGATACAATATTATGCTTATGATCTGTAAACCATATTAGAACGTTAACATTTCATCAAAAACATACCTGGAGTCATGTTTTGTTTCATTCACACATTTGACTAACCTTGTATTAGTAGTCTGTCTACATCTCCAAAGCTCAAAATGTCATGTCATGGTAGTTTTCAAGTTAACCACTACCTTTTACCTTTAGTTTAGTAAAGACAGGCAATTTCAGGGCTTTAAATGATCCAAATTATTCTAGTGAAGGTGTATGGAGTTTAAAAACACAGTGGAGCACTTCCTGTATTATCACATGACATCACAAGGTGGAACAGAGTGTTTGCTGTTTGTGAGCAGGGTCTTTGTGTTAAACATGTGTGAATTAAACAAAACACAACTCTAGGTATGTTTTTGATGAGGACAGATTATTAGTCTGATTCATCAGCCTGACCTCACAGCATTAGGATTCGTTCGCTTGATGGTAGATGTGTATTCTTTTTTATTTAACCAATCACTGCTATTTGGTCGTGATGTATGTAATGCGCCGGGACGTTCAGTGGTGTCCAAGTAATTGCTGGCACATCAGCGAACAAAGCAGAGAGTGAAAATATCTGTCAACGATCATTGTCATTTCCACATGGTGAACTTGCAAATTAAAGGTGCAATAAAAAAAGCAAAGTTTGTATTTGACAAAGCAAGTCCAAAGGAGGATAGAGTATGCAGTCTGCTATCGCAGCTCTGGTTGGTTCAGCTCTTTGCTGGTTGGCTGTTGTGTGGTATACAAACCGTCTAGTGTATTCTGATTCCTGACCTAGTCGATGGAGAGAAATGAAATTGAGCGGAGGCACTAGGTTGTGCCAGCCTGGCTAAAACATTATAACATAGATCTGAAAATAGTGTGATATGGGCCCTTTACACAGGTGGGTCAGGTAAAATGAAAGTAAATAATTAGGATGCCCTGAATTTATAAGTGAAACTAGTTCAGCTATACCATTTAAGACAGTAAAAATCAGGTTTAGTGCCTTTAAAATGCAGATTTTTATTTCAATACTGTGAGTTTTGATGTACAGTCAGTACTAGAAATGTCCAGGTTCAAAATTTGTGAATTTCCCTGTTGAATATTTCATGGCTGTACAACATTATAAATAGGAAAAACCCCCATCTGTGAATATCACCATAACAAGAAGATGGTGTTTTTGGTTTAACGGTTAGTTGCTCGATCAGTTGTCTTTATAAATAAAAATCTGCAAGGATAGTTTGATTGTTATACAGACTACACCCTCATATCATCTGCAGTCTATGAACCATGCAAGACCGTCCACATTTTAGATGGAGCAGAGCACAAGGCCTACACCAATAATCTTGAAATTTATTTTGGAAGCTCACAGTAAGCAATGCTAAGAACCACCTCATTATAAACACTTAAACACTGCATATTTTATTTAAGAATGAAGCCAATTCCCATATAATTTACGAAATCTGTTTTACTCCCATTGAGAAAAACAATGAAAGGGGGAAGTAGTATGTAATTCAAAGACAATAGTAACACATTACTTCTTAAAACATCAAAAGACTCGGCTGACAAAATAAAGTGCAGTTATAAGTGTGTGATTCATTGTGGTACTGCACTGTTATTACAAACATATGGCTGTGTGGGGCTCTATGTGGGAGATGAGACAAGTGAATATAAAGTGCTCGGACTTAAACTGGCTCCTGTCCAGATCTTCCTGCAGTTTCTAATAATGTTGGATTGGGTTAAGGTGACATTAAAGAAAGTTATGTGCATAGAAATACTCCCGGCAATTCCATACATGATTTATACCCCATAGTGAGTTTGTTTTGACCCCTAGCTATAAATCTTTATATGTCACCTATGTTTCATATTAAACTGCAGGTTCACGACCCCTCTTATGTCTATTTTAAATGACCCTTATCGCTTAATTTGCAAAAAACATGCAAATCATAGGCAACAGGTAGGACATGAAATGAACCCCATGTGTGCGCAAAACAAAATTCACCTGAACTTTTCACCTTCCGACCGGATTTTCATTAAGGTGTGTTCATTCATACTCATTACTGAACAACTTCCTTAGAACACTTAAAAAGAACTGTCAAAATGTATGCCAGGAAAAGATTTTAAGATTAAAGGTGCATTGTGTAAATTTTCGGGCAGAGGGTTCATCAAGTGCTTCTCTCCATGGAGATGTTGTTGTTTTGTCTGGAATGTTTCACAGGTATGGTACGGAATTAAACCTTTCTTTCTTCAAGGAGACCGAATCAGGGTAAGTTACAGGTCAGATCTGTGGAGAGGCGACCCCGCTCACAGTCAGAATGAATTTTTCTAGGTATTTTTAAGCTATAAAAACATCTGTAATTGAATAAATGTAAGGTAGAGCTGTTTAAAGTCATATTGTGCAACATTCCAGGCAGAGCAATGAACTATGCATAGAAACAGGCAGGTGACGGATGCCCAACAAAAAAGGTACTCAGTACAGCTTTAATGTTGGCATATTTTACCTGTGATTTGAGTCTCGATCTCCCCCTGCATCTGTAGAGAGTCCACATAGATGCTGCGGTTGCCAATGAAGCGGGCACAGGCGATGCCCCGGTACGGCTGGCAGAATCCCTCCTCGTCAAAATCATCACTACAAGACAAAAATAACAGAATAGAATGGTTACTGACAGAAATGTGTTTATTAAAATATATCTAAAAAAGAAAATTTAAAGCCAGAGGGGAAGGGGCTGATCCTGAATGCTGTGCAATATAATACATTTGTGGCAATGCATCAAGGCACCAGTAGGGGGCAGTCTTTGCTTGTATACCTTTGTAAATGAACGGTTTTCACTATACAACACAGAAACGATGTTGGGATGACACAAAAAAAAATCCATATATGTATTTTTTTAATAGTTTTAACCAACTAAGATTTATTTATACATATTATAATGAATATAGTATTATTTATAGATTTTTGTTCTTATTTCAAGCAAAACTCCCTCCCCTTGTGACTAGAAAATTGTACTTAAAATTATTAATAAAATATAAGTTAGAAAGAGAAAAAAACCCAACAAGATTCATATTCTAAATTCCAAGTTGTTGTTTGCCACTTATAGTAACCAAAACTTTGCATCTATTAGAGTATACTGTTAAACTGCAAAATACTCAAGTAACTCAAATAAGTAAAACTATGGAGTGTGATAACTACTCCGAAATATACAATTTGATTTAAATGTGACTCAAGAAAGCACAGTTGAATAAATGCGAGTACTACCCACTTCCACTGTATGTGCAATGATACGTGACACCACCTTGTAATTTCCAGTCACAAACAAAACAAACAGCTTAAGCAGACAGTTACAAGTAAGGTTTTCATGTATAGTTGTTCTTTAATTCCTTCTCTGAAAGCGTCCAGGCATCTTTCAACCGCCCACTTCTCTCACCTCATCTACACCAGGCCTGCACAGCGCACACAAACCGCACGCTGAGAGGACATCGCTCACACTAAAGACTCACACTAAAGACTCACACTAAAGACTCACACTAAAGACTCACACTAAAGACTCACACTAAAGACTCACACTAAAGACTCACACTAAAGACTCACGTGCAGAAGCCGTGCCACACAGAGACCTCAGGCGCGGCACCACCACAGTTTATACTCCAGCATACATGTAGAGCACCGCACATAAACATACATTAACACGGAGCCAGGCAGAAAACGCCCACACTGATTGAAAATGCATATGTTGTCCTTATGCTGAAAGCAAGCGGGAGTTAAGTACAAGTGTTTAAGTAGCTCTTTGTAGTCTTACAAATTGTATTGCCTCATTAGACTAACATTTATTGTTTACTATGTACTAATCGATGCATTTATCTATAGTTTAATGAATGCGCAACTGTTTTGATGGTACAGTTTTGGATATTTGGTTTACTGTATTCTAATCTATATCTAATTTATACATCTGATTGGCAGACAATAATAGCTTCTCTGTTAAACATTGACTGAACACTATTTAAAGTACAATGAGGGCTGGTTGCTTAGTCATGATGTGCTGGTGTAAAAGATTTCAGCTTCAGACCATCTACTAAAGCAGTGTTTGCCAATTTATTTATTTTTTTTTCTGTTGATCCATATTTTTAATATTTTCATAACCCACGTCAATAGACATTATTTGTAAGTCACAAAATAAGGGTGGATTTGATCATTATTGAACATTAATGAGGATATTTTATTGTTGATCGTTTTTCTGAACAGTTAGTATTACTCAAGTTTTAAACAATGAAAAACAGTAATTGAAGCAGCAATAAAAGGATCCATAAGTCTCCTATTTGGAGATTAAATGTAGCTAGTTTCTTTTTCTTTTCAAGATTCAATTGAACAAATACTGGAACAAAATAGTCAATAAAATAATTACAAAAAGATAAGAAATAATTAAAAACATGTCTTAACACTTCAACATTTCTAATGCGATAGGTGGGCCTGTCTGCATTTTTGTAGCTCGTTCCAGTCCGGGTACAGAAGGAGAGTGCAAAAGCAGATCAGGTGCAGCATTCAGTCTGTTTCTGTGCTTTGTCTTCATTTTTGAAAATGTCATGTTTCTTGCAGACCTACATGCAGATCTTGACAAGGCGACCCAAAAATGAATCTCTTCCAATCCACCTGAGGGTCATGACCCAATCTCTGGGAAACAATGTACTCAAGGTTAGGTCTTTGGAACAATTTCTTAAAATTTCGTCATTAAAAAGGATGTCAGGATTGGTACTTTTGAGTTGTTGAGTAGTTTATCGCTAGTAATTTAATAGTCGTAATTTAATAGTCATTTTCTGCAATATTTTAAGAAGAAAACTATTTGGTATATACAAGATTTTGCTATATGACTAAACTCATGACAGCAAATTATCAATATTTTCCAAATCAAAAATAAATAGTTAAAGAAATTTACAGAATCAGATCCAAGCATTCGTACAAAACCGTAAGAACACTAAAAAAGCTACATTTGAGACAACCCACATCTATCACAAAAATCAAACAAAGACAGATCCTTCAAATAACATATGAATTATTAAAAAGGGTTCTATTTTTATAAAAGAAAATTGTAAACTCATTTGCACTTCTTACTATCTTCCCACTGTAGCTGCAGTAAACATCGTAACTTCACAGCATGTTTATGTGGACTAATTATCTAACAGCCCATAAAACTTTAATGGGACGCTTTGAAGGTGCAGGTGCCCACAAGGTGACAGGTAGCAAGGAGCGGCAGGTGTCAACAAATCATAAAATTTTATAAATAACTAAATAAATATTGGTAATTCATAATAAAAAAAGCAGAGATTAACATTTTAGAAGGAGATTTAGAAAAAAAACAAGTTAATAAGTTTTCCATTCCCAAGTCATTGCTGCTCAACGTTCTTCCCAGACCCAGCGGTGGTTACAGCTAACGACACAAAGAACATTATGCTTAGATAACATTTAGAGATTAATTTAAAGTTAGGTTCACCAAATATGTAATTCCTACTAAAATGTGGAGCTTTATAATTCTAAGTGCATGTTGCGGTGTGTCTGCAAACAGCTTAGCACCTCTTCATCAAACCGCAGTCTTTTTTCCGCTGGCAAAAAGCAAAAGTCCCAAGGTGAAAATCTAGAGTGGGATTTGGGCTAGTAAGATAAATATGACGGGAAAAGATTTGAGAGTAGCAAAAAATAGTGCCATTTCATTCAATGTAACAAAGTAAGTGCAATGGCTGGGGTTTAGATTATCACAGCACTCTATAGACCGATAATACAGATGGAAGAGGGAAGGGGAAGGAAAATTATACAGAATTTACTATAGTGAGCAGCATGTTAGAATGTTGTTATCTCATCCAAAACTGTTCTAGAGCTGTGTTTTGTTTCATTCAGACATGTTTAAGTAGTCCTTCTTTATTAGTCTGTATACATCTTCAAAGCTCAAAATGCTCTGTTCCATCTTGTGATGTCATGAAGTGGTTTTCAAATTCACAGCTACCTTTTGCCTTTTATTCAGTAGAGATTTTACAATTCCAGGGCTGAAACTATCCGAATGATTCTAGTCAAGGAATATTGCTGGGTTTCACGTGATATCACAACATTCGATAGGCCAATAATATGTAATGCATATGGCAGGGTTCCCCACGATCATGGAAATCCTGGAAATGTCATGGAAATTGAAAATGTCATTTTCCAGGCCTGGAAAAGTCATGAAATTTTGTCAATTCAATGAAAGTTTTGGAAAAGTCATGGAATTTTAGAATCTCTTTCATGCAACTACAGCGTTCTGTTAAGGTCTCATTAGACTATTATGATTATTTCTGAACGTATACGCCTTTTGTTTAAAAGAGATGACAATAAATGCACTCACAGTATTTTGAATGTTCAAAAACTATAATACCAAACCATAAGGTGAGTGGAAAGGGTTCACATTTCATATTTAGCCCTAAAAGTCTGATCAATTCTATACATGTAGGTGCCGTAAAGTCATGGAAATTCACTTTAGGTCATGAAAAAGTCATTGAAAAGTTTATTGTTGTTAAGTTATTATTTAGTTAATGTTATTAGGTTCCTTTTTCAGACCAATAGTTTGTTTTCATATCTGCCACATCACATGACCACATGAGGAAGAGCGCTCGTGGAAATTGTCAGGTATGAAAACAAACTCTTGGTCTGAAAAAATTACCTAATAACATAATCTTTAATATTGTTTAAATGCAAATTTTTGTTGTAATACTGTGAGTTCTTGAGTCAAATTACTAACCAAAATTAACAGATTCAACATTTCTGCATTTACCTTTTGGACATTTTATTGTAAAGTACAAAGTAATCAATAGGAAAATCTGTCCCTTGTCCCTCATTTGAGAATATAACATCATCACATTCTAGAATCTGAAAACAACCAATGGGGTTTAAATACATAGTGAAGCACTTCTTGTATTACCACCTGAGATCACAAGGCGAAACTGAGTGTTTGAGAGAAGAACTCATCTTAAATATGCAGGATTATGCAAGACACAACTCAGGGTATGTTTTTGACGAGAAGACATAATCACATAGATCAGAAAATAATAATATGGGGCCTTCAAAATGTAAAATTATGTTGTCATATAGCAAGTTCACAGATAGAAATTATCAGGTTCAACATCTGTGAATTTATCTTTGGAATATTTCATGGCAAAGCAGACTGTAATCAATAAGAAAAACTGTCTCTTGCCCCTCATCTGAGAGTATGACATCATCACATATCTGAAGACCACCAATAGGAGATAGATATAGGTCAGTAATGGTGTGATCATATATTCTGGACAGCCTTGGTCTAGCCACACACAGACACGAAAATGACAAGGGAAAACAGACTACAGACCACAGTGCAGCAAATCCCCACTGGTAAATTATAACTGCAGCCTCCCCCGAGGGACTGAACCAAAAACGCAAACGGATTCCTCTACATTTCAATTTTCCACCCATGTACGCTGAGCTCGACTAGTATGGATACAATATGGAGTAGCAGTAAGTTGGATGATATGCAAGCACGATTTTAAAGAAGTATGCAATTGCTCCAAAAATGCACTGTTTATTCACAGACTTCTCACAATTTCTTACTTTTCTAAACATGATTTGATACAACATTTAAA